GGTGCAGGGGTGAGCGGCTAGAAGTAGCAGCAGTCCAGCCCAGGCCGCTGCCTGATGGGATGGGAGAGGGCGGAGTGCTACCTGCTGGGCCCCTCAGCCCTTCTGGTACTGAAACCCCAGCTCCTTGGGGACTGGGTGGCGGGAAATTGGTGTTGAGCACTGGCCTTGAACCTGGTGTTTTCTAATCTCCCTAACACATTCAGGAACAAAGATACACATACGCACACACACACTCAGCCACAGTCACACAGACAGACACACATGTCAACAGGACTCACACAGTCACACGGAAACACTCACACCCCGGGGCCCTCCTGGACTCCGAGCAGAGGCCAGAATGGGCTTTCCATAAACAAGCCTCAGAACACATCGCCCCATTAATAATAAATACCGATTACTGCTCCGGGCATCAATAATTAAGGCCCGTTACAGTAATCACACAATTATGATGATGATGAATAATTCAGGGAGGGAAACGGGGCTGGTGTGGCTGAGCCGGCCTCAGTGGACCTCAGCGGGCTGGCCCAGCCTCCCGGGCCAGGTACACTGAGGGATCCAGGCCACAGCTCTGGCAACCAGCGTCCTTGCTCCCCCAACCCCGCCCGCACTGCGGGTGGCTTTGGTGCCAGACAGGCTACGGGGCTGCCCCAGACTCAGACCTGGGTGGCTCGGAGAGGGTGTGCGGCTGGTGGCTGGTGGCTGGTGCGTGTCTTCTCCATTTGCTGTCCCGGGCCCACGAGCTTCCAGAGAAGGGCCGGCAACTGGGTATCTCGGCGGTGCTGGCCTGGCCCTGCAGGTGGTGCCGCTGAGAGAAACAACAGCCTCGGTTTACACCGCTAGCACACCTACCCCCTCCCCACCCCACCTCCCTTCCAGGGGGCGGAAAGCTGGGGAAGCGCCAACACCAGCTGCAAGGATCCCCCCTCCCGTCGGGGAGTGCCCTGGGCAGAGTATGCCAGGTTAGAGCCCGGGCTTTGGGGTCAGACAGCCTGGCTTCGAGCCTGGGCTCTCCCACTTTCGAGACGATCTGGGAAAATGGCCCACGCCTCAGGTTTCCATCTGTTCAATGGGTACGCATGGCCACGGAAGGCCGGTGGAGGTTTGAACGAGCCACGTACCACGTGCGAACCGTGCCCGGCGCTCTGGCTATGGATAGTGACGCACCAGTGCTGTCCCCCCGGGCGTCCCCGCGGCGCAGGGGTGTCGGGGCGCCACAGCCCTGACCGCGCCGTGCGCCTTTATTTCCGTCCCTAGGACCAAGTGGAAGCGACAGACGGCCGTCGGGTTGGAGCTGCTGGCGGAGGCAGGCAATTACTCGGCGCTCCAGCGGATGTTCCCGTCGCCTTATTTCTACCCGCAGAGCCTGGTTTCCAACCTGGATCCCGGCGCCGCCCTGTACCTGTACCGCGGGCCCAGCGCGCCGCCGCCCGCCCTGCAGAGGCCCCTGGTGCCCAGAATCCTCATTCACGGACTGCA